CCCCTTTTTTTTCCCCCCCCCCCCCCCCCCCCAAAAAAAAACCCCCCCCCCCCCATTTTTTTTTTTAATTTCCCCCCTTATATTTATTTATTATTATTATTTATTATTGATTTTCTTTATGATTATTTATTTTATTTTTATATACTATTTTCATTTATGATTTTGTGTTATATCAATTTTAATCTTATTTTTTTTTAATATTTTTAGCTAGTTTTTTGTTTTTGACAGTTTTTTTTGAGTTATTTTTGTTATATTATTTACAGTTTTACAACTTTTTTTTATTTTTTTGTTTTTTTTTTTTTTATTTTACCGTTTTTTTTACATTTTTTTTTTTCTTATTTTTTTTTTGCTTAGGGAGGTTTAATTTTTGTTTATTTTTCACTAGTATTTTTGATTTTTTTTTTTATTTGCGTGAACAAGAGGCAAATGAACCACTTTGCTGGACTGAACCATGATCTTATTTTGGCAAGGAATTGGGCTGTCTCTTATTTTATACATATGCTTGTCCTCAAGAAAGATGCTGGACTAAACTGTCTAGATTACTGAAATGGCTGTCTCACTTGTTGGACTGGTCTGTCTCTCTGATGGACATGGGCTGTCCTCTTTGCTGCGACTGGATCATGCTCTCTAATTAGCTGACCCAAGCTTTCTGGTTGATGGTTGGCCCACGCTCCTGCTGCCCTTTGCTGTGACTGTAATTTTCTGTTACTCGCACTGTTCAAGTCACTTTTCAGGAATCGACCTGTCTCTTGCCAATGGATGGAGGCTTTCACTCTTGCCTGATTGGCGATGTCTCTTTTCTGGATCTGAAGCTCTGTGAAATTAAACAATGGATGGGCCTGTCCTGTCTTGCTGGGGACTTAGAACAGGTCTACTTACTGAATTGGGCTGTCTCTTTAAGCCAGGCCTTAAAATGCTGCACATCTTGCTGTAATAAAAGCAGCATACAGTAACGCTCTTTTGCTGTGCATATTTTGAAATGTCTATGATTGTCCTAATATGTTTGGGGCTTTCTCTTTGCAGTGTCAATATGGCGAATCTAGTTGCTTACATATATCAGTCCTGCTATAAAGTTGCTGATCACCACCATTACTAGTCTAAATAAATAAAAATGACAGTGTATATATTACCATCGTTTGTAGATACTATAACTTTCACGCAAACCAATTAATATACGCTTATTGTGATTTTTTTTTTAACCAAAAAATATGTAGCAGAGCACATTTTGTCCTTAATTATGAAGGTTTGATTTTTCCAAAGAACACAATACCTACTGTGAAACATGAGGGTGGGCAACATCATGCATTGTGGCTGTTTCTCCGCAAAGGGACCAGGACGACTGATCCATGTACAGGACAGAATGAATGGGGCCATGTATCGTGAGATTTTGAGTGCAAACCTCCTTCCATCAGCAAGGACATTGAAGATGAAACGTGGCTGGGTCTTCCAACATGACAATGATCCCAAACCATACATACCGCCCGATCCGGGCAACGAAGGAGTGGCTTCGTAAGAAGCATTTTCAAGGTCCTGGAGTGGCCTAGCCAGTCTCCAGATCTCAACCCCATAGAAAACCTTTGGAGGGAGTTTGAAAGTCCGTGTTGCCCAGCGACAGCCCCAAAACATCACTGCTCTAGAGGAGATCTGCATGGAGGAATGGGCCAACATACCAGCAACAGTGTGTGCCAAGCTTGTGAAGACTTACAGGAAACGTTTGACCTCTGTCATTGCCAACAAAGGATATATAACAAAGTATTGAGATGAACTTTTGATATTGACCAAATACTTATTTTCCACCATAATTTGCATATACATGCTTTCCAAATCAGCCAATGTGATTGTCTGGATTTTTTTTCTCATTTTGTCTCTCATACTTGAGGTCTACCTATGATGCCAATACAGGCCTCTCTCATCTTTTTAAGTGGGAGAACTTGCACAATTGGTGGCTGACTAAATACTTATTTGCCCCACTGTAAATTTCATTTGGATACAGTGTTGCATGACTGCACAATTGTCAATTAAAGCAGTGCAGTGCCCTATAACAAAAACTGGCCTGGCATGAAGGGGGTAAAATCTTTCAGAGGACAAGTGGTTAAGGAAGGCATTTTTGTTGGTTCACAGATCAGATATGTTATCAATGACAAGCAGCTTGAAGATTTGTTAGTGGGGCCAGAGATAATCACCTGGAAAGTATTTAAGGATGTCGTTGAGAATTTTCTTGTCAACTACAGAGCATCAAACTACAGTCGCTTGGTTGACAAACTTGTTACAAGGCCATGAAGAACAAGATGTCACGGAAGTTTTATTTTCTGCATTCACACTTGGACTTCTTTCCCGAAAATCTAGGTGCACTCAATGACGAACATGGTGAAAGGTTTCACCAGGACATTGCTACAATGAAAAAATAGGTCCCAATGAACAGCCACAATAGGAAAAATACCTAAAAGGGTTCCTATACGCTGCCTGTTGGAAGATCACTTTTGAATATTCATTTGAGATTTTTGTTGCAAATATTTGTTTTATTCACTTTTTTTAATGAAAATAGAGCTCATCTCTAAATATGCTAACAGGAGCCTTTACTGACTAATGGAAGCAGAGATCTATATTAAAGAGGTTGTAATAATATGAATAATGCATTTCCCTCTATAGTGTGTACTTGTCTCAGTTAAGAGCTCTAAATGTGATTTCTGTCTGCCGCTTCACATCCCTGGTATCCGCATGAATCACTTCTGACATGTTTTCCTGACACCAAAAGAAAAAATGGTGACGGGAGGAAGCTCTATCAGATTGACAGCCTCAGCACTGTTCCTGTGTGCTTCGTAGAGGGGGGTCTCCTCCAATCAACTGTCAGAGCTCTCCTCACTGAGCTCTGCAGAGTGTGACTTCAGCTCTCTTTTTTTCTGAACTCTCAGATAAACTTTATAAATTCAGCACTTTGGACTGATGTTGAGAAGAGAAGGCTACAGATAAACAGGTACAACTTATGTAGGAGGATTTGTTTCATCTGTGTGTACCACCTAAAGCCAGTCACTTCACTGGGTACATGTAAGGGTTTACAACAATTTTAAATGTAAGATGGGCCTTACATTTAAAAAATAATGCAATATATTTTCGTGGAAGTCCTTCAATGCATAGAGACTTTTTTTTTTATCAGTGAGAAACTTACTAGCATTTTCTTCGACACCCATACACATTTCTTGCAGTATGGACCCATAGATACATTATATCCACCCTTCATTACCAATAACAAGCTATAGATCCCTGTAGGTGGCACACTTTGGATGAGTGCATGTGGTGATCCCCAATGTCCTTGTCAGGGCTGTGCTCCTGCTACATAACGAGCAGCTCTTCTCTTTCAGTGCTCAGAAACTGCTCAGGTTTTGGTGAATTACCAGCGACTTGTCTCCCACAGTGACTTACCATCACCTGCCTCATTAGTCCAGCCCACAGCCAACCCTTTTTGCTATTTTAGCAGGTTAGCTCATTTCATCCTTGCCCTTGCATGGTCTATCATCTCCAGTGTGTTCTTGCCTGTGTTCCTGTGTACAACTCAGTCTGGCTGACTTCTGATTGCTGTTCTTGATTTTTGGCTCCTGAGTATGTGGACTTCTGGTTTCCTGACTCTGGCTCATTTCCTGACTCTGGCACTGACTACCTGGTCTGGAATCCAAACCATGGCGTATGTTTTGACTACATTCTTGATCTATGTTACATTTGCTATTTCAGTAAAGGTGTGATTTTAACTGCACTTTCTGTCTCCGCTTGGTTTATGATTCCTGACGGTCCTCTCTCTCCACCCATGTCGCTCCATCCTTTCCTCTCTTTTCTCACACCTTCTTTACTCATATCCTTGCTATATTCTTTTGTTATAGCTTCACTTCGTTCTCTCCTCTTTTATTTCACTAAGCTAGTGGTATTTAGCCAGAAGCCAAGTATCCCCCCAAGGTGCAAAAATGACCAACCCTTGATTATTAGAACCTCTGCCTAACCTGGATGAGACCATTTATGAAACCAACCCAGATCCCTAGTACCGTATTTGCCGGCGTATAATACGACTTTTCAACCCGTGAAAATCTTTTGAAAAGTCGTGTGTCGTCTTATACGCCGGTATACGGCGAGCCGGTGTCAGGGTGGCACTTTTTCGAGGGGCGGCGCCACCCCCCTCCTCCTCCAACGGACACCAAGTACAGGGGTGGGCAGAGGGGCTGCTGTACCTTACCTGGCTCCGGTCCCACGACGATCCGGTCCAGGAAGCGCGGCTGCTCCTTTCAGTTCGGCCACTCGATGGTCCCGCCACCCGCTCGGCTCCGCCTCCTCACCGGTGATTGGGCGCCAGCACTGGAAAGGCACACAGGCGACCAATCACCGGCAAGGAGGCGGAGCCGAACGGCCCCGCGAAAATCAAGCGGCCGAACTGAAAGAAGGAGCAGCCGCTCCTCTCCCCCACTGACACTAACGATGGGGCACTATTCCTCCTCCCCACTGACACCAACGATGAGGCACTGTTCCTCCCCCACTGACACCAACGATGGGGCACTACTCCTCCTCCCCACTGACAACAATGATGGGGCACTATTCCTCCCCCCACTGACACCAATGATGGGGCACTTTTCTCCCCACTGATACCAATGATGGGGCACTATTCTCCCCACTGACACCAACCATGGGGCACTATTCCTCCCCCACTGACACCAACGATGGGGCACTATTCCTCCTCCCCACTGACACCAACGATGGGGCACTATTCCTCCTCCCCACTGACACCAACGATGGGGCACTATTCCTCCTCCCCACTGACACCAACGATGGGGCACTATTCCTCCTCCCCACTGACACCAACGATGGGGCACTATTCCTCCTCCCACTGACACCAACAATGGGGCACTATTCCTCCTCCCCACTGACACCAATGATGGGGCACTATTCCTCCCCCACTGACACCAATGATGGGGCACTTTTCTCCCCACTGATACCAATGATGGGGCACTATTCTCCCACTGACACCAACCATGGGGCACTATTCCTCCCCCACTGACACCAACGAGGGGGCACTATTCCTCCTCCCCACTGACACCAACGATGGGGCACTATTCCTCCTCCCCACTGACACCAACAATGGGGCACTATTCCTCCTCCTCACTGACACCAACGATGGGGCACTATTCCTCCTCCCCACTGACACCAACAATGGGGCAGTATTCCTCCCACTGACACCAATGATGGGGCACAATTCCTGCCACTGATACCAATGATGGGGCGCTATTCCTCCCACTGACACCAATGATGGGGTGCTATGCCCTCCCACTGACACTAATGATGGACCACTATTCCTTCCACTGACACTAATGATGGGGACACTATTCCTCCCACTGACACCAATGATGGGGCACGATTCTTCCCACTGACACCAATGATGGGGCACTATTCCTCCCACTGACACTATTGATGGAACACTATTCCTCACACACTGACACTAATGATGGGGCACCATCATTGGTGTCAGTGGGAGGAATAATGTCCCATCATTGGTATCAGTGGGAGGAAATAGTGCCCCATCATTGGTATCAGTGGGAGGAATAGTGCCCCATCATTGGTGTCAGTGGGAGGAATAGTGCCCCATCATTGGTGTCAGTGGATGAAATAGTGCCCCATCATTCGTGTCAGTGGGAGGAATAGTGCCCCATCATTGGTATCAGTGGGAGGAATAGTGCCCCATCATTGGTATCAGTGGGAGGAATAGTGCCCCATCATTGGTGTCAGTGGGAGGAATAGTGCCCCATCATTGGTGTCAGTGGATGAAATAGTGCCCCATCATTAGTGTCAGTGGGAGGAATAGTGCCCCATCATTGGTATCCGTGGGAGGAATAGTGTCCCATCATTGGTATCAGTGGGAGGAATAGTGTCCCATCATTGGTATCAGTGGGAGGAATCATGCCCCATCATTGGTGTCAGTGAGAGTAATAGTGCCCCATCATTGGAATACCATACTGAAATACCATACCATATTGAAATCAAATCTGATGTTTTTTCATTTTTTATTTGGTGTGCGTTGGAAGGGGGTAGTCTTATACGGCGAGTATAGCTCAAACCCTATATTTTAACAGGAAAAGTAGGGGGTTGTCTTATACGCCGGAAAATACGGTACATATGAATACTGCCTCCTGGGTATACTTGCATGCTTGTTATTTACATGGACGTGATCCTGTATTGTTCATGATTATCTTCCTGTTAACTGGTTGTTAAATTCTGTGATTACATAATCTGCTATGACAGTTAATGTTACGTAAAAGTCTCTATTAAATTTATTGAAAGTGAAAAAAAAAAACAAAACCAAGCCAACCTCCGGTACCTTGGAATACAGCTTGAAAACCTGAAGGTCAATGCTGATGTCAGAGTTTGGAATTGCCAAGGCCAAACAAAGTTTCTAGAGACAAAAAGAGTTGATGAGGAACAACATGATTAACAACAAGATGATCACATGTTGAACTGTGGTGGTGCAGAAGGATATTGAAAATCAACTTGACGGAAATGGTCTCAAAGTTAGATGAGCTGCAGTGTCAATGAAGCAAAACCACATCTGTTGGAAAGAATATTGAGACAAAGAATACTACTTTTTTTGGTCATTCACAAGTAACTTTGCTGGACAGGAGCAATATAGGAATGTGAAGGAAAGTAATGGAAGGGGAAAAGGAAAGGAACATGGTAGATGGCTGATGTCCAGGAAATCCTAGGTAACCATGATGTAAAAGCAGAACATTAACCTGATACAAGGCCAGATTAAAAGGGGTGGTGGAAGTAACACTTTGGATTTGAAGTTCACCAAAGGCTACAAGCAGTTATGGTTGGAGCTTATTTATAAAAAATAAGGGGTCCTGGACGATTTACTAGACACTTAATATGGCTATTTATCAGTTTCTGATTTTATAGCTAATCTAATGATGGGGATCACTTACACTGTAATTATAAAAAGTAGCAAAGTCATATTTGACAATTTTTGGAAACTTGTTTTAAACAGGACTGCAGGATCAGGAACTCCCACAACCCCTGTCCACACGGCAGAGTAGTGAGGTAGTGAGTTTGTACGCTCTTGTGTCCCAATAGTGGGTATGGCCATATTGCACTAGAAGTGGGAGTGTCTTAAAGAGGCATTTTTTAAATAAAACCAGGAATGGCAAGGTTCACGAGAGTGTAACACACAGGACTGCAGGGTTCAGGAGTGTGTTACTCACAGAGTTCAGGGGGGGGAAGTGTGTATCTGACAGGCCAGTTCACATTTCTCAATGGAGGAGAGGGCAGGAGGAGGATTTTCTCCATTGGATTATCGTTAGTGCAGCTGAGCCTGGAGACCTGAAGCTATTAACTTCCACAGTGGAGAAAGTTCAACAGCAAGAAGAGGACAGGGCAGCCCTGCGTTTGAAGATTTCCACAGAATCCAGCAGCTTGCACATCGTGGGATACACATCAATTACAGGTAAATGATGGTTACTAATGCTGTAAAGGAAAAAAAAATGCTTTTTTGCTAAACTTTAGCTTTAAATTGTTAATTTAGTAGCTGTATGCAAAATCCTCAACTATTTCAATGCAGTCATCCAACAAGTAATAAATCTCTACTTAAAATCCAGCATAATCCAGGCTCCTTTACTTCATTTTAATAAGACCTATGGCTGCTACTCTTGCTTTTTTTTTTCCTTGGGCCACCGGTCTTATAAAATCCCCTTTGTAGTTCCTCCTCCGTAAATCAGCGGTGACGTAATTATGGCAATGCTATCTATAGTTGGTGGACCCAAGAGTCTCTGACTCCAGTGTGACCCACGCTCTCTAGCTTAGCATCATTTGATAGTCAGGAGGATTGTTCCACAACTCGCCTACTGCCCATCCAAATATATTCTCATTGTTGCTACAACTCCCACAGCGTTCTAGGAATTATAGTTTGTTTATAGCTGTAGTGTGAAAAGAAGTGACGTTTTCTTTCCTCCCCTTGCAGCGATGACAGTTCGGGCTAGACGGCATCTGATTGGTCAGCTGGTGACCAATTGGATGCCATCTTGCCCGAACTGTCATCGCTGCAAGGGGAGGAAAGAAAGCAGTGGGATTTCAAATCCTGATGCTTTATCTCCTCTCCTACCACTGACACTCAGTATGGGATGGCTGCAGGGAGGTTTCCCGCACCTCTCCTGTGTGAACGCTATGACAAGCCCTGGGTTCACACAGGATCACTTGTGGAAACCTCATGCAATTTGGACAGGAATCACATTCCTGTCCAAATTGCATGCTAATCTTGGCGGTGCAATTCACTTCCATTAACGCAAATCGCACCTCAAAGTATCGGTTAAGGTTATCGGGAGTATTTTCGCAATTACGAGTTTTCATGAAAATACTTGTATCAGCACATCCCTACCTAGGACGGCAAGGAACCAAATTGCCCCACACCCTTTTCTCCAAGTTAACAGGCTGGATGGAGACTTCACTGTCCTCTGAACTCTTTTCTGTGAAAACCAGAAGTTTAAAACGGTCTTCCACCTAAAAAAAAAAATGTCAGCAGCTACATAAACAAAAACTGTAGCTGCTGACTTTTAAATTAAAGCCAATTATGTCCCTCGGTCCAGCAATGTTCTCACCACTGCTGGTTTCACCCGGCCATCTTCTCTGCTTGACACCGGCATCTTCAGTGTGGGCACCCTGCTGTGACAGCTTTGCGGCCTTTCACAGCCGGGTGCTCACTGCGCAATGTGCGAGAAGTGCTGTGCTTTGTGAATGGGTCCCGTAGTCTTCTGGGACCTGTCATGTGTCCCAGAAGACAACGGGGAGGAGGGGGGAGGAGGACAACTTCCACTTCTGATCGCCTAGGCCAGGCTTGCAATTTCCACTTGCCTGCTCGCCACAGGAATGGCGAGTGGAAATTATGGTGGGGGCGAGTGTGTCCCCCAAAGGCCGTATGGAGTGTGTGTGTGTACGTGTGTGTGTGTGTATGTGTACATGTGTGTATGCATGTACAATTGTACATTGTGTCTGTGTGTATGTGTTTGTACGTACATGTGTCTGTATGTACATGTCTGTGCGTGTGTATGTACATGTATCTGTGTGTATGCGTGTCTGTATGTGCCTGTGTTGTGTATATATGCGTCTGTATGGGTGTGTTACATGTCTCTGTGCGTGTGTGTACATGTTTCTGTGTGTGTGTACGGGTGTCTCTGTCTGTGTGTGTTTGTTGTGGTTTGAGTAACTTAAGGCCTGGCTAGTAGCTCAGGACTGAAACTTTAAGCCCTGGACTAGGCAATCACGGCTGAAGTTGGGAGCGGGTACCTGTCAAATTCGGGTACCCCCTCCCCATGCTCCCCAAAGGTGCCAATCCTTAAAAGGGAGGCGGGGAACAAAGGGGCCTTAATAGCAGAAACTTCCCCTTTTGGATGGGGCTCGCTTGAAGGAAAGCAGAATGGTGGAAGAGAGAGCTCAGGACCCGGCAGCACTGAAATTGATAATTTGCAAGTGCTAGGGTAAGAATTTTACCGGAATTGTTGATTGAGGAGTGTTTTCTTTTTTGTACTTTGTGTGTCAAACTAAAAGAGACTTTACTATTTTTAATTAGCGCTTTGAAAACGCTGTTGAAAATCTTGCACATTTCCAGATTACATAAGGACATGCTTGCAGATTTTTTTTTTCCCCACACTGGTAGTCAGCATACAATTTCCTGAATCTGTCAATGGTTTGATTCTTCTCCAATTGAGCAAGCCTCTTGGTGGGGTCCTCGGTATGGGGCGTTTATGTTTGTGCACTCATTAGGTGAATGGAACATCAGCGCCATTCACAAATCAACTTGTTAGTCTTTGGTCATTCTACAATCTCTGAGAAACAGCATCTTGCCCTGAGCCAAGTTTTAGTTTAAAAAGAATTTTTCTCTCATTGCCATAGAAATGTACACAGTACTTAAAATACGCAAAGAGGATGTATTTGGATCCAAATGAATGACGACTGCTGTCCAGGGGGGGAAGACTCAAATTGGCCATGGATGCTGAGTGTTTATTGAACATCCTGGATCTGAGGTATCCAAGTCTAGTTCTTAGGGAACATTACAAGTCCACTTCACGTCCTCTGAGTAATTGTGGATGTGTCATTAACTTTCTAATACACATTGAAATAGGCCAGCAGTTTTAATTTTTTTAAAAAGCCCCAAAAATGTAGAAAAAGTGATTTCTGTTGTGAAGATGTACTGCCCTGGCCAAAAGTTTTGCGAATGACACAAATATTTTAGCTGCAAGGAAGCATGTGCACATCATTGCTTTGCTCAAAACGGGATTCACAGGCAAGGATAACAAATTGCTGCTCACGAAGATTTCACCTAAGTCAACCATTTATGGTCATCGAGAGGTTCAATCTGTAGTGGGAAGAAGGACTCAGGACTCCCAAGAACGTTCCAGCAAG